AAAACAATCAAAAAGTCACTAAGTGTGATGAGTACTGTACCAAAATGCATGCCAGCGATGTTAAAAAGCATGGCCGGGGCTTGGCAGAGACTAGTTTTCCTAAATCCAGTGTTCTTGACCTGGAATTTGCAGATCTGATCACAGTGGTGGGTTCTCAGGACTATTTTAAGTGGGTCTGTAAAAAGACTGAAGAAAAGCAAGTGTAGCATCAACAGCCTAACAGTAATCATAAGCTACCAGAGCAAAACATCAAATGTTTTGTAGATCAAAGGTGGCAAAAAGCACTCCATCAGGGATGAGACTAAAGCAACAAAAAAACCTCCAATGAGACATGAACCAAGAAAACTGTGCTAGGAAACTCAGAAAGCACCTAAAGAGGAACTGATTCTTAGGCCAGAGTACCATGTGGGTTTGTATATTGTGTTCCCCACTGAAGGAACATTAACTGATATACTGAGCAACATGACTAGCATGTCACCTACATGTTCTTTCACTGTTCTCCAAAGGAAAAAAAGTGTTTATATTGCTGCTCTGGTATTAGAGAAGATCAAAGAAATAGTACAAATGATGAGCAGAGGATAAGGACTGTCTCTTTTGAAGAAAGTGTTCTCCTGGGCCAGCAAAGCATTGCTGTCAAGCATGGCCTGCAGCCCAAAGCTGACAATGGCATTACAGATGTGATGGAGCCAGGCTGCTCACTATCCAAACATACACAACTTCTTTATTTGAAATTCTACACAGAGGCCACTACACACAGTTTAGAACACCTTAAATGCTTCCACAATAATCTGCAGTTCTCTATATATTCGCAGCTTTCTTAGCGATAAAGGCTGCCTGCCCAGAAGTGTTCCGTTGCCGAAATCCAGCTGTGAGCCTTGAATAACCAGCAAATGACTAGGGCCAGCAAAAAACATTTATCTCATGTAAGAGAACAGAAGGTGGAATGAAAAGACAGAAGACACAACAGAAACTGGAGGCTAACTAGATAGATAGGAATGAAGGAGGAACTTTGGTCCTCTGAAGAAAGTACTCAAACATACAGTTTTTTGAATCACAGAAGATGAAGCAGAAGCTCTGTGCAGAGAACTTAGTACAGCTTTATGTATTTATTTAATATAGTTCTTTACATCTAGAGAACAAATCATGAAGAGCAGCTGAGGAAGTTGGGGTTGTTTAGCCTGAACAAAAGAAGACTCAGGGGGACCTTCTCACTCTCTGAGTAGCCAGGTGGGTGTCGGTCTCTTCTCCCAGGTAACAAGTGATGAGAGGAAACAGCCTCAAATTGCACCAGGGGAGGTTTAAATTGGATATCATGAAAACTTTTTTCACGGAAAGGGCTGTCAAGCATTGAACAGCTGTCCAGGCAAGTGGTGCAGTCACCATCCCTGCAGGTAGGGACATGTAGATGTGGCACTTGGGGACATTGTTTAGTAGTGGACTTGGTAGTGCTGGGTTAATGGTTGGAATCAATGATCTTGGAGAACTTTTTACAACCTAAACAATTATGTGATTCTATGTTTTTGACAAACCTACTTCTGTGAGCTGCCTACACATACAAGACAACTCATAAAAGACGTGTTTTCTGTCCTCTTGCTTTTGGGCGCAGTTTTGGACATTAATCTAAAGCATGTGTGTGTGTGTGTGTGTGTGTGTACTATCTTCTTTCCTTTTTCTTTGTACAATATATAACACAATCAGATTCCTCAGTATTATGGTAATGCTATTAATAAATACAATATCTAAATATCTAAATTTTAGTGTAAAGTGGCAAAACAGCACATCATATCTAGTAACATTCATCAGAGGGGACAAATGAGTAAAAACTCACGTAAAATCTCAGTTATATCAATAACCCAGGATCTACTCTGAAATAATTTAATCAGGACTCAATATTATTATCACAAAAAAATTATGCCAAACCAGTGCAGTTTCCCATTCAACACTGTACTTCTTACAGCTATAAGTTGGTCGCTCCTCAGGCAGAAACATCCTTATACATCCTTCAAAAGCATGAGTCCCTATCATATCTGAGACTCACAACTCTCTGTCAAAAAACAATTTGGAGGAAATAAGCTATCTAACGCCACTACAATTTGGAGAGAAATGCTCAAGTAGGAATTAATTTCTACTCATGATCAGAAACAAACAGAAACATTATTACAAATCCATATAGACCCCCAAATGTGCACTCAGTGCTGGGGAAAGCAACATGATTTTTCCTGTTCTCCTCTAGAATAACAGAAATATGCTGTTACCCTAACAGAAACATTTGTCCTACTGCCCAGATGTTTATCATATGTTATGCAGCAGAACTCACATTACACTGTTGTCTTTCATCTGCAATGCAGTTTTCTCTGTCCTCCACCTAACTAACTGGGACAGCAAGGATATTTCTAATAGAGAAGCACAACTTTCACTTCCCCTCAGAGTGTCAACTGCCTTGCTGAAGCAGAGGGTTGCGTTTTATCAAAATCCAGTAGCAGAGTTGTTTTTACCATATAATGTCAAAAAATCAAGTGAAGCCACTTATTGAAGCTGATGCCTTCCTGACAAGCCAAGCAAGCTGTGCTCCTTATCAGCTGGTTCTAAAAATATATTCTGCTGGACAGGCCAGCGGTCTGTACACTCAGTAATGTCGTGCTGCCTGCTACCACTGGAGTGCCATCAACATTTGTCCTGATCAAAAGGAACACAGAATGCTCAAAGCTATCCTTAAGGTTTACTACTATGAAAAAAGAGTAGAGAAGTAATTTTGCAAGCTGTTTATTATGTTGATAACACTACATCATCATCATAATAATGAGCAATCAAGAGTCTTTTGCTGTTAAATATTCCTTTCAAACACTTACTACGTTGACTGTACTTAGCAAGGGTTTGGTAAGATATGTAATGGTGAACTCAAAATGTATTTCTAGGGCCTTCATTAAAATGACATTTTCTTTGTTTGAACATTTACATTTGTATATGTGTACACATACACACACAGGTACACACATATAGACTGTGTGGCAATTTGTAGGAGATATCATTGTATCCTTCTCCCCATTACCTAAGCTGAGTGTATTAAGTTTAAATCAGAAGACTAGAAGAATGTTAAACAAGTAAAGGACAAACTAAATAGCAAATAGAGGAAAGGAGGCCATTAGGCTAGAGGAACTGACAGAAGCACAGGTGCAGACTCTGCTTTGGATTCTATGGGAAAACTGGTATTGGGGCAAACCCTGGGAAGCAGACTTCATTACTGCTTCTCTGCTCTGCTCGCTGAAGCTCTCTCTCTAGGTTTGATCAGCAAGACACGAGCATAATTTATATTAAATAAAAAAATTACAGAGAGAATACTAAAGGCTTTTCTGTTTAGTCCTCCTGAGAATTTTAGTTGTAATCACATACTTGATTTCCCCAAATAATTAGGATTCAATAAACACACATGAGCTAGTCAGTATGATCTAACATATATTACAATCCCTTAGCTGTTTCATCATCTTTTTTTTTTTAAAGCTAAAAGCACATCGATTCTATTTCCTCTTTTATAAGCTTTTCCTGCTACGAAAGGCTCAGAACACAAGTTCTAGTCTGTAAGTAGGACTTAGGGGCACTTCTAATAAATGAATACAAAATATTTGCATAGCTAACTTAACATCACATTTAATTTTTAATGTCACTAAATACACAATCAGAATTTTCCCTGCAACAGTACCCAGTTACAGAGGAACCAATTAAAATCTATTCAGTATTAACAAGTTGCATTTGTGTTTATATCTTATCTACTTGGAGTAATTATTTTATTCTCACACAAAGACTATCCAATCAGTCACCTGGCAGCAATCTCACATATCCAGGTTGCAACTCCAGAGATGAAGCATCATTATAAATACAACAGTGCAGAACAAAACTTTTCTTTTATGACAGCAGAACTGTCATTCTGCTTGAGACTAAGACAAATAAATGAATATGCATATATAGAGATCTATTATCGAAGTAAAAAAAATTGGGGGATTTTTCATTTCTAAAAACCAATATGCAAGGTATGTAAAAACATACATGCAAGGTATTCTTGTTATGTTTACCCTTACCATGTTACACCTTACAAAAAATGGCTTTGTAGGACTTGTAGAAGAACTAATAACAACTAAGTAGAATGAAAGCATGATCATATGCAATCTTAATCTACTTTTGTTGAAAACATATAGTGCACAAAGATGGTAGGTCCTGCAGCAGGCAGAACAACTTACTTTAGAGGATACTTCAATTTTATCTCCTTTTCAGAACTATTTTTAGTGCACATGGAACTTGGAAAAATTCAATGACTGCATTTTAATCATGCAAATCATGGAAATGGAAGTTGCTTCAATCACATATATGTTTATAAGCATCCATAACCTAACACAAAACTTCAGTTTCTATATTATACATGACTACTCCAGCTAATAATTTTATTAGCAAATTCTGTCTAATGGTATAAAACCTGATCTGGATTTTAGGTGAACTTCTATCCAGTAAACAAAATCTAGAAGAACTGCAGAGCTACCAAATCTAGTTAGAGTGAGAAAAGGATAGAACACTTTTCATTATTAATTAGTCTTTTCATAAGACAGTTATTGATCCACCTCTGGGATATAAAAGTATGTGATATGGTGAAGCAAGAGATCACACAGTTGAGGTGGTGAGGAAGAATGGGATTTACACTGATGCAGATCAAACCTCAGTATATTGCAATAAGCTTACAAGTCTACAACCCCGTTATTTTTAAATCCCTTCCAAATGAAACAGATGCAGACTTGCATCAATGGAAATGTGGAACACAGATACTGTGCACTGTGCCCTGGAAGTTATCTTCAGATATTTGCCTACATTCACCTGTTGAGCTCAGAATAATTACACATAATACTAACCATCAGAAATACATGTGTAAATGTGCTACCAGTGTAACTTACCTATTTTCTGTTTACATTATATTCTTCTACCAATATAACTCTTGACAATAGTTATTAAATGCTTACCACTGTGCCTAGAAACTGAATGCTTGTCTCTCCAGAGGCATTCCGAGAAATGCGCTGAAAAACACAAATGTAAGAACTGATTAAAGCATCTCCAGAATTTGTAACCATTCCATTTTATGACATCACCACCATAAAAAATAATTGAATACACAAATCTATAAAACAGATAAAATAATTTCCTTCAACAGAAGTACTAGAAACCTAAATCATACTGCATCTCAGATTTTGGTTTTAGTTCAGTCAACTCGATAAAATTTATTTTTGAAGAACAATGAAAGCAAATACATCCAACACAGTAAAACCTTGGGCTCAAATGCCATGAATAATGAGGCTTCTGCCATCTCCAAACGTCTGTAATTCTGTATTCATGATACCCACATTTAGTATTATCTTCATTCTCTCCTAATGAGAGACATTTTAATCTCTTTTTAAAATGCAAACCTCCAATGATGCTACTTTGAAAACAGAAAAAAAAAATGACCTTATGAAATGTCTGGTCACCTACTGTGGTTCAAGAGTTGATTGAAGTTATTAAACAGTCTTCAAATATTACATTGTCAATAAGCCACAAGACAATGCAAGAGAAAATACGTTACTGATTTCACACAGCATTAAACATAATTTAAATATGCAAAATGTATAAAGAACTCTTTCTTTCCATTAATTGTTTCCTCCTTCAATGTAAAAAGTGGGCATTTTTTCAATTTTCTTCCCACTGTTTAAACTACAGCACATATAGTCCTTAGTCATGGAACGCAGCCCTAATCTTACACAATGCCAGGCATACATACAAGTACCAAAGCATAGATCTGAGAAGAGTATAATTGCAAACAAAGAGCTGCACAGAAATCTTCAGCATTTTAAAGACAACAAATCATAAGAACAGGGCTGCAAATAATCTTGAGTGATCGTCTAGCCTGGAACCCCTAGCAGAAGCAAAACAACCAGTGTCACTGCCAAATGATATGTGTCTAATCCATTTTTAAAATCTTTCAATTGCAGAGATTTCACTATCTCCCTAAGCAATTTATCCCAGTGTTCCTTCATGTTTACCATTAGGAAGTTTTTTCCTAATAGTTGACTAAAATAATGCTGAGTTCAGCTTTATTACGTACATTAATTCTCCTCTTTTTCATCGCAGACGGGAAACACAGATTATTCCCTTCCTCTTTACAGCTACCTACAGGTATATGAAGAACCATTATCATGGCTCCCCTAAGTTGTCTTCTCTAGACCCAATGAGAAAGTGCTAGCTATACAACAATAGCTAGATATCCCCCAAAACAATGTTAATAGCAATAAATTAAATTCTGGTCCCTTTTCACTACTGGTGCATGTTCCTCAGCTACACGTTATGAAGTAATAATTACTAGAGCCCAAACATGCTTATTTTTTTACTTAATAGGTCACACACTGACATTGCAATCTGTACAATCATATGAAAACAAAGGGTGATGTGCCAAAGCCTGACATATTTCAACAATAATGATTAATGGAATGGAAAATATGGGAAATAAAATTTCATACAAAACCTGACGTTTACTTTTATAAAGGAAACAGGAATATACACTTTTCCCACAGTCTGGGATAAACACAATCAGGTTTTGGAAACCACAAAGAAGAACAAAGTGTCGGCTGCCTACAATGAATGAACCGCATGCCAAAACAAACAAGTCCCAACCACTTGATAAGCTGTCAGAAAATGGCAAGCCGAAAAAAATTAAAGGATTTAATTTCTTTTTTTCCTGGAATGCCCTCCACCCTCGTTAAAGTTCTGTCACTTATTGTGCTACCCTTTTGTCTGCTTTCAAGGGTCATTAGAGACCTTTTCATGTCCTAATAAAAATTCCATTTTTTTTGGCTAATCTCCCTGTCATACAGAAAAACACAACTTAAAAAACGAAACAAAACAACAAGAAAAATAGAGCCCTTTATTCATTTTCTTTAAAGGCTTTCAGAGGAAAGCCAGGTATCTTGACAACTCAACTTTTTTTTTACAACTGAAAAGCAAACCATTATAGTATTTCCTCACACAGATTCTCTTTAAACGCAACCAAATAAGCTAGCATTGCAATAATGAAGCCCTTTCAAAAATAAGTTAATAAAGCCAAATATATATGTACATCACGAAGGCACCTTGTAAAGCCTCAGTCTCAGGACAAGACAAAGATATGAGCAGTGTTTTTCCTGCTCTGATGCTGTTGGAGCACACTGGTATCACAGTATAGTAAATCCTCACTGCTACTGTTTGCTGTGTCCAAAATACAAAGCATTACATTCAGTTGTCAATTGCATTAAGAGTCAGTATAAGCGCTAAAATCCATCCCTTAAATTAACATCCAGTGAGGGGAGGAGGAAAATAACTGAGAAGGTGACAAAAATAGTTAACAGAGGAGAAAAAGAAATTTCCCTTCTGGGTATATGTAAAAAACAAAAACAAGAAAGAAAGGTAGAGAAATTCTCCAAGTCACAAAACATATGTTACATCAAGACCAAAAAGAGAACTGCCAGGTTTTTGAGAACCGTGCTACAAAAGAAGTCAGCACATTATCATAATTAATGTTTCAAATTACAGCTGTAAATAAATTTCAGCTATTAGATGTGATTAGATTTTTTTGAAGCATATTGAAGAGTTTTTTCTGTTCCACTGGTGGGCTAGTGTTTCTGGGATGTGTAAATGTAATTGATGTTTTATAGAAAATGAAAGGACACGATTAACAATTATTCTTTTATTTTCTGCCTCTTCAGAAAAAGGACTAGTCTCCAGTTTCTCCTGTAAAGTTAGATATATACATAATTCTATACCTCATAATAGATGGTTTCATATTGCATGTGATAGCACGAAAGTAATCAAATAGAGGTAACAATAGAGAATAGCTAATTATACATATTGTCATTGCTTTCCTAATAAATTGCACATTATTTGCTAGAAGGTTTACAACAAAAAGGCAAGGAAAGTCTACCATTTGTTCAAAGACAAAACTTTACCTTGTGTTTACCTAACAATACAGTAAAAATTACATTCTTGACATAAATTATGTGATCTTAGAAATAACCAATGCTTTTCTAGTCAATTCAACCATTGCTTTTCTAGTCAATTCAACTGACAGAGCTTCAGACTAACTTAATTACTACCATATGAGTTAAAAGTATATTTTTTTCCTATGAGAAAGTAACAAGCTAACTGAAATATGAAAAAAAAATCACAACTTCAAGAAAATCGATCTACAGTCTCAAAGCTGTCAAACAGGTATGACTGTTATATAAATATTATATGTATTTTTACACACACAGGTTACAGTATGTTATACTGCATATGCCATGTATATACAAACAAAATCCTTATGCACACATGTAAAAACAGACAAGTGCATACAATCATATAAAATGTATTTGATTTTCCTTCTCTATCTTGTGTATGCTATACCATACTTATTTCACAAATAATCATTTTAATCTGTAAATCCCAGCAAATTACCAGAGGTCAGTGTGATATGACTTTAAATTCTTCTGCTTTGCCATAGAAAATTATTTCCACTTAGTTGGGTATCAATGATCTATTCATCATAAGATGCAGTAGGGTTACAATCAGCTTTGCATTAAGCCTGCCGTGGCTGAGCACTTGCAGATAAAAATGATAACAACCTTTACAAGAAAAAGGATAAAGCTCAGTTCAAAACATAAAATATGTATTACTGAAAGACATTCTAAACTAACAGACGTTATTAGACAACAGTAAGATCTCAGAATATTTTCCCACAAATCTTCTGGTATCTCAGGCTCTCCAGGCTACTAGAAGTGAGCAGCTGCAGAGGAGGAAGGATACAAAACCAAAGAAACTCCAGCAGACCAAAAGCAGTTTTTTTGCCTTGCTTACAAATGAAAAGGTGATGTGTGAAGTCAGAATGAATATGAGCTGGCAAAGGCAATCATATATATCTCTATTTAAGTTTCTCAAACCCATTCATCTTGAAAAAGTAAAGCTGGAGACCATTTCTTACAGAAAACTTACAGCTTGTCACTCAACATTTTTTGTGACTTTTTCAAGCGATGGCATGACTACATTACTACTTGGACAAGACATAGCAAACTATACAGAACCAAAAACAAAATAACAAGCCCAGAAAATCTATAGATAGGCTATAGATAAAATTCTGAATGAAACACTGGTAGTTTCCCAGCATGGTGCTGTTTTTCAGAATGCAGAATTTCTTGCAGCCCAGCCCTATTGCTTCATTTCAACTGCTTGCTAACAGACATTCTGAACATCTTATGCCATGAATTTCAAATGAAGAATGCTATCCACTTTTTTTGCCAATACTTATAAATTCTTGAAAATTCAACCTCGCAAAACACAGGCTAGAATCATCCTCAGACAGGTTTAATTAAAAAACAAATTATTCCCACAATAGGGAAGTCAGTGGAAAAAAACCCACCGTATTTTAGCTTGTAAAGTTATACCAGATTCATCTGCTAGTACTTAATCTATGAGATTTTGTATGTGAGGGTGTTTGGACATCTGGAAAGCTCCGTTTTCCACCTAAGTCACTTTTACCTTTAGAGTCCCATGGCAGGGTCAGAGAGGAGGAGAAAGCTGCAGAAGTAGCTGTGAAACCATTAAGTCATCCTCTCGTCAAAAAGCAAGGATTGATTTGGTCTTATCAATCTCCTTTTCCCTCTCCTTCTAGAACCTCCACAGAAAGTAGAAGTTCATTTCAGCACTGCCTTTCCACCACGCAAAATCGCAGTCAAGGCATGTAATCCCAGACTAGCAATGTAACCAAACTTTCTTGCATGCTGTGGACTTTCAGCATTGCACTATATGTTCAGGCTTGTTCAGCCTCACAAACCTTTCCACTTTGGGAATCACCCTACTTTTTCACAATTTAGCATTTTGCACTAATGGTTCAGAATTTTCTCCCCTTAGAGCATGAAATTACAGATAGGAAGTTAGCCCGACTTTGTGCACTGCTCTACCCTTAGCCATTACCAGTTTCAGTTCACACTTAATAGTAAATAAAGCCTCAGTGAATTTTTCTTCCTCAGGGCATGTC